GTGATCAAAATAAAATTAGATTTTATCTGTGAAGTCATTGGTGCAACATGCTGTCTTCCAGCACAACATGATCAAAAATCACTGAAACAAAAATTCACAAAGAAGAATTATCATAGTTTTTTGTTGGTTAATTTTGGAATAGAACAAAGAGTGCACAGACACCAACTTTCTGTGGTTAGTTCTTTTTTTAAGCTCATTTTCAAGGCTTTGAAGTTGGGGGAAACCATGTGGCACCATTTGAATGACCCATATTTCCCTGTCACATAATTGGAGCAAAGCTCAGCCATCTAGTAAAGCAAGGTGTTCTATTCATCACACATGCTTTTAATGGAAAGGAGGGCAGATTAACCTGTTTACTTTTCACTATCATGATTAAAGGTGGCCAATATAGCAAAAATGTAACATCATGATGCTAATTACATCATTACATATTTCTATGATTCATAATACATTACATGAATACATATTTCATTTATTAGGGAGTTTGCAAACAAGATGGCACAAAAAGCAGTTCCACATTTTAAAAGGCTATGGAAAAAGTAGGACGCAGGTGTGCCAGATTGTGTCCATAGTTTCCAGACCCCCCAAAAAAATTCCAGAACTTGCCAAAATGCATGAAAAGCACCCCCGCCCCCCCAAAAAAATAGAAACATAAAAACAGGTTTACATTTCTACCATAATATTAATTAGTACAGCATTTAAACCTACATTACATCAATTGAGGCAGTAGTGGCTTAGTGGTTAGGGCTCAAAGCGATTTATCAGAGGGTCTGCTAAGATGCCATTGAGCAAAGCACTTAAGCCTCTCTGCTCCAGGGGTGTCTGACCTCAGCTTTCTAAGCAGGGATATGTGAAGAAAAAGAATTTCATTGTAGTGTACAGGTAAAATGACAGCAAATGTACTTATAAACTGTGCTGGGTATGTTAACAAGAGAAAATACGAGTTGTTGCTAGATGGCACTTTCAGTCATTTATTGTCACTGGTGCAGCACATTCCATGATCCCATGCAGTCAAAAAGGTGAATAAATCACAATAATATAACAAGCAACAAAAGAAGCTCTCTCTCATATATACTTTTCAAATCTGATTACCTTTATTGGCTACTCAGATCACACGCCATTCTATTCTCTATTTTCTGTTTTCTTTTTATTCTGTTTGTACTGCAGAACCATAGTCAGTAATGGATAATCCATGCCATGTCTTGCCTTTGACACTGTGAAACTGTAAACAATGCTGACTGGCAGCGGCAACATTCTCCTCTCAACAGGAGTGAATCAAATGAATGTCAATCAAAGTTGTCATAACTGATTTGATGAGAGACGTCCGGCCTTTTCATATTTTAGCTGCATTATTAAGCAATGTAATATATTCATTTTAAACTTTTTAATCATGACAAACCAACCCAGTTTTTGTTCACCTGCCAAAGTGCTTTCATCCTTACCTAATCCAACCAAAATCCACAAGATTTTGCAGGAAGCTGCCAAATCTGGCAACCCTGAAAAAATTTATGCAATGGACTGGCGACCTGTCCAGGGTGTATCCTGCCTTCCGCCCAATGACAGCTGGGATAGGCTCCAGCAACCCACCGCGACCCAGAAGGATAAGCGGTTTAGATGATGTAAGATGATGTCATAATGGGCTGACTTAATGGGCTGATTGTTACTATGCAATTTATGCAGTTGCAAAAAGGGTTTTATATAATACCAAAAAGGGTTCTGTGACTGGTAACAATAGTGGAACCTCTTTTACTGCAATATAGAACCATTTTTAAAAATATACATACACAGAGGCACTTGTAGGAATTTAAGGCCCCCTGAAAATGTCATGCATGAGCCCTCTGCCAGTCACTACTGGAGGGGAGACAGAATGCAAGATGGGTTACTGTATACTCATATACACACATACACGCATACACACGTACACCCACCAACCGGCCACTTCATTAAGTACACCTCCTTGTATCTACATACACTGTCTACTTTATTAGCTCTACTTATCATAAAGGTGCACTTTGTAATTCTACAATTCCCTCTACTGTAGTTCATCTGTCTCTCTGCCTACTTTGTTAGCCCCCTTTTCATCGTGTTCCGCAATAGTCAGGACCCCCACAAGACCACCACAGACCAGGTACTTTTTGGGTGGTGGATTATTCTCAGCACTGGAGTGACACTAACATTGTGTTGTTCTGGTATGAGTGGATCAGACACAGCAGTGCTGCTGGAGTTTTTAAACACTTCAGTGTCACTCAGTGTCAGTACAGTGTTGGTGAGAACAGTCCACCAACCAAAAATATCCAGTCAACAGCATCCTGTGACCACTGATGAAGGACTAGAGGATGACCAACACAAACTTTGCAGCAACAGATGAGCTACTGTCTCTGAATATACATCTACAAAGTGGACCAGCAAGGTAGGAATGTCTAATAGAGTGGACAGTAAGTGGACACAGTGTTTAAAAACTCCAGCATCACTGCTGTGTCTGATCCACTCACACAACGCAACACTAATACGATTTCTATGTTGTACCATTGAGAAGAACCACTCAACCATGCAAAAAACACTTTTATGCATTCAGATGGCTTTTTTTTTTTAGATACATGCAATTGTTCAGTGTTCCAGAAGCACTATAAACCATCATTTACTGAGGAAAAAAAACATTTTCTGATGTAATTGAACATGATAATGTTATCATATTGTCCAGCCCTACTGAGTATACAGTGTCTTTTATGGCAACATTTTTTAATAATCGAACATGTGAGCCCCTCGTTTTCAAATACAGCAGCCCCCACTCTTTTTGCATTTTGGATTCTATGACTAAAATTTCTCGCACCAAATGTGTTTGGGCAGATAAGAAGTGTAATTCATTTTAAGGTGACATTATCTCTGTACACCCACTGAAAAACAGGTGTGCAGCCAGTGCTACAGGTGACTGGAGAACAAATGGCTACCACCAGAGGAGACAACTATGATCAATTTAGCATGTGCACAAAAGCACAATGTGAAATGCTATAAAAAGAGCTAAATTAGCAGAGTTCAAAGCATCAAAACATAACAGAGACCCACAATGCCAAGGTGCAACACAATTAGTTACACACAGCATGACATCCAAAACTCACTTTCAGCCTTCCAGACTGTGTGACACTGAGAAATCTCCTGTTCTCAAGTCATTTTGTAGAGCAAAAGCCACTTCACAGCAAGAGAGAGTGTTCCAGGCCAAAGACATATACTCTAACATCAGCGTCCCCTATTCTGCTCCTGAAGGACTGGACACCAGCACAGTTTGGTCATTTTCCTGCTCAGATACACCTGATTCCAATCATCCGGCTTGGAAGGTGTGTTTGTACAGGGAAAACAACAAACTGTGCTGGAGCTTGGGCTCCTCATGTTCTAACAGGTTCAATGGCACGTATTGCTGAAAAGCTGAATTATGTAAAAAATTTCAAAAGTATTAAAATGTACAATTTACTTGTCAGGCAGACTTATATTCAACAGAAAATTACACAGAAGCCTCAACAACTAAACAAATCACATTTTTTCAGTATTTAATGTGTCCACTCTGTCTTTATTACAGCTTCTGTTCTTTTCAGGAGACTTGCTTTCAATTTGTCGAAGAAATCTGCAGGGCTATTTTTCCACATCTCCAAAGTTCAGTCTTAGAAGCTGGTTGTGTTTTCTGCGTCTCACAATCCAAGTAATGCCAAACACATTCAGTGATGTTGAGGTCTGGACTCTATTGAGGGGTGGACAGTCTATTGTTCTGAGAACACCAGCAGTTTTTTTGTTTGATTTGTAAATTTTCTTCTTGACAGCTACACATCCTTTCAGAGCCATAGTGTTGTCTTCTCAAAGTGGAAGGATGGACAGAAACACCTGTAGATGTTTTCAGATCTGAATCAAGAGTGGAGCTTGATTTTCTCCTCTCTCTCTCAGATGAAAGCTTTAAGTGCTGTTTATCTGATGGGACAGTTTTGCTGGCAACACTATCACCACTGTTGTAACAAAACATTGCAAAGTTACCAAAAATGGTAACGTGTCCTTCATTTTTCTTGTAAGTTAAAGATTCCATTCCAAGTAATTTCGTATCATTTCTACTAGTCCGTTCATCATGAAATACCGACACAATATATAGGGCAGCAATATGTAACTTCAAAGCCCTGGCAGAGATACTTTTAATCAGAAATGTGGTATCATAGTACAACAAATGAAGCCAAAAGTAGGTTGCTCAAATATTACAATGTACCACTGCTGTTGTGTACACAGTAACAGAGTGGGCCCTAAATTATGCACAAAGAACCAGTGTGGGCTTTGTTCTTACCTAAGAGCAGCACACCTGCGATGACTGTAATCAACCAAGCCTTGAAGGAGCTGAATGAAGTATGTTACTCATAGACTGGAACAAAAGCTTGGACCAGCACTAACTCTTTGTCCAGATAAGATTAGGGACCATTGCCAAACTATGAACAAAGTGTCTTTTCTAGCCACTCCCACTACTGCACAGTGCAGCACTGCCCTCTGCTGGTAGGTCTGGGGAGTTTTGCATTGGCCAGAGGGCAATTACTGTAAAATGTATATATAGGCATAAAACCACCAAATAACAGATAAGCTATACAGACTCACTGATTACACTATACAGTGCCATGAAAAAGTATTTTGCCCCCTCTTTATTTCTTCTATTTTTGCCACACTTGTTTCAGGCAGTCAAACAAAATTTAATATAAAAGAAAATCAACTTGAGTAAACTCAAAATAGTTCTTTTTAAATGATCATTTTTATTCAAACAAAAAAGGTTATCCAACACCAGCTAGCCCTGTATGAAAAAGTAATAGTTGTACAATCAACCAATTAACTAAATTTTGTTGATAACCGGGATCAGTTAAACTAGACACACTGAAGTTTGATTACTGCAAGCCCTGCTGAATCTAAACATCAAATAAATAGAACTTTTCCAACAATGTCAAGTAGGCAAGAAAATTCTAAACAAGCAGTAAACTATGCCACAATCTAAAGAAATTTCAGAAGACATGAGAAAGTTATTGAAATATATCAGTCTGGAAAGAGTTACAAAGCGATTTCTAAGACTTTGGGATTTCAGTGAATCACAGTGAGATAATTACTACTATCTCCAAATGGAGAAAGCCTGGAACAGTGGAGAATCTTCCCAGAAGCAGCTGGCCTACCAAAATTTCTCCGAGAGGGACAGAGAGACAACTCATCCAGGAAATCACAAAAGAACCCAGATGAACATTTAAGGAACTGCAGGATTTGCTCACATCAGATCAAGTCAGCATTTATGATTCCACCTTTTAAAAAAGACTGCAAAAATGATATCCATCCGAGAGCTGCAAAACAAGAAGTACATAATTTTCCATTCGCCAAAAAACACCCAAGCACTTTCGAATAATGTTCTCTGGACTGATGAGTCAAAAGTGGAACTTTTTGGAAGGCAGGGGTCCCGTTACATCTGTTGAAAAGCTACCACAGCATTCCCCAATAAGAACATCATACCAACTGTGAATCACGGCGGTGGTAGTGTGATGGTGCGGGGATGCTTTGCTGCTTCAGGGCATGTGCGACTTCCCATAACTGACAACCAGTTACTAAAGTGTAGGTGGGAGAGTTATACACCGGTAATATAGGTGTTGCAATTTTTTTTCCTCAATAAACGAAATATTCATTTAAAACTGAGTTTTGTGTTTCCTCATTGTCTCCCTGTCTTATATTACATTTTGTATCTGAAACCATTAAGTGTGACAAATATGCAAAAACAGTGAAAATCAGGAGGAGGCAAATACTTTTTCACAGGACTGTACATGCATATTGCATTCGTAACTGTCCATCTATCTTTTGGCCTCTGTAAAGCTAAAAGCCAAAAAAGTAATCTTTTTTGAAGACAAGATCTGAAGACTGAGCTTATTAGTCCACCACATGGCTTTAAATAATGTCATTTGGCTTTTAAATGAGGCCCAGCAGAACAAACAAGAAAAAACACTCAAGGAACACGACAGGATTAAAGGAAAACTCCAGCATTTTCTGACCTCATTTCTATCTGCAAGTGCAAACAAACAGAAAACCCATTGGCTCAAAACATCTTCTTCTAAAAGACAGCTAACAGAAGCTGAAGCACCTGGCCATTTGTTTCTATTATAAATGTGTCTTGAATCAACCTGCGTGCTGTTCTTCTCCAAAACAGGGCAATTAGTGACCACAGGAGTCAACCATATGTAAGAGATACGGCAGAGAAAAGGCTGGAAAACACTTGAGTTTTCCTTTGATCTAACAACCCTAAAATGTTTTGAACATTTCATAAAGTATGTAGGCAAAAGGCAGCTCAACAACGTGGCACTGTATTAGTGGCACAGTTCGGCGCAACACTCGTTTGCTGACAAAACAGGAGTCTGTTCTTTACTGTCATTCGACACTTTTTTTCATGATGGCTTTTCTCCTGAGAAACTAATTTGGTCTCAGTGAGAGACGTGCTTTAGCGCGGCAGCTCCTGAGGCCCTACGCAGAGATTTTGGGCCATTTGTGGAAAAACAGAAGCAGAGAATGATTGTTCCTTCGCTCACATTGAAGTGATGACTCTGATGCCAAAGTACAAGCGCAGCTGCTCCAGAAAGATGAAAGTTAGCACAGTGTGTGGGATGAGACGAATCCCAGCTGGAACAAGGCCCTACGGTAGTGAAGGAAGTGGAGAGAGAGAGAGAGAGAGAGAGAGAGAGAGAGAGAGAGAGAGAGAGAGAGAGAGAATAAATGAAAGAAAGAGCAAATTCATAAAGCCACTTCAACACAAGCCTGTTATTTCTTAACAAAACCTATAGTGGTTCAGGCATGACCTAAACCATAATAGATGGATGGACCATGCTACATCAAAGGAGAAAGAAAGATTAAGTGGTGCGGTCACAGAGAGAAAGTGGGTACGAAGTTACTGCCTGACTTAACAAAAACACTTTGTGAAGGTGTGAAAGGTAACTTTGAAACGTGGAAATGGTTTTTCACCTTGTAGAAGGCTTTGGGCCCAAGTTTGGCAGTGTCCCTCAGACAATGAATCACCTAGAACAGAAACAACAGGGTCTTATGTGAATAACGATTGTACCTGAATCCAGGCACATCAGAACCACAGGCCATTGTCACCACTGGTCATGATGGCATATAACATTTTACATGAATTGTTTGGCAGAAAATCAAAATTGCACAATTTTAATGCAACAGTGTTATTTAGCGCTGGAGCTAATACTGGAAGTCAATAGTCACCAAAATCTTTTCCATAAATACATGCCTGAAACTCCAAACATCCAGGTCTTCGTAAAGGTCACAGGCACTTGCCGATGTGATTTAGGACACAGTACGCCTTAAGCTGAGTGTACACTACATGACCTTTTAAATCTTAACAGAATCCAGACAGCATCATACACTTAACACTGTCTTTAACAGATTTTCTTGGTATTTTGTGATGAGGACACGTATACTAGATGATAAGGCAAAAACAAGGTACAACACACATAATGGCTAAGAAAAGCACTCAACATTTTTAATAGGGATTAAAATCTGGCTAAAAACCATGTTGTGTAGGCCCAGCTAGAGTAGCTGAAAGCAGCTGGGAGCCACTTTAGACAATAGGTTGTGCCGAATTCCCACCTGCCCTACAGAATCCAACTTGTCTTGGCTGAATAACTACCTCTAGGGCAGGTGGAAAATTTTGTACATTAGATTTTTCACCAGCTATTCCTTTAAGGCCAGTGTGAATGGCAGGTGCTCTTGTAATGGTTGAGAATGGCTACAGGCTCCAAGATACAATACTTTAGCCACAATTCAATTCTGCTGCAACTATATTTAAAGATCTGTGCTATTCTAAGTATTGAAATATGACACATTGCAATATAATGTGATTCACTACTTCTGACTGAATTATTCCTTCATAAGAGAACTTTAAACTAATGAAGTTTAGAATTTGTTCCTCTCACTTCAGTCTATTTTGAAGACAAACAGGACTGTGAAATAGATAAATCAACATTCAAAACAGGCTTTATCCATTTCCTTTATCCATATTTAACAAATCCTTTTATTCTGAGTGATTTACAGCTAAATGTAATATGAGGAGTCTCACCCTAAAAACTTCACAAAATAAATAACAAAGAAACAGTGACATCTTGTGCATTAAAACAGAAATACACATTTTATTATTTAAAAATAATTGAATGTTGAAAACTCGGGCCTCTGTGTATTGATACTATTATTAAAACAAAAGTTACACTGTATCATTTTTTCTCCCACCACTACCTCTTGCTTATGCTGACTTCAAATCATACAAAGCCAAAATAGTAGGATATATAGGCAGCATATAGGCAGCCCAATTTATTAATTAACAGTAATCATTTTATTTATTTATTTATTTATTTTTAAACAACCAAGATCTATAAAGTGACCTAACATTTACTCAGAAATTGAGCTGTTATTTGCCACAATTAGCTAGCATGCTTCAGACTGAAAGGTTCTAAATTGCTCTCACCCCATACTCTCCCTTTGAGCTCATCAGCCTGGTCTTCACCACATCAATTGGCTGGCACAGGACAGTGGCACAGCCTCCCTGTTCACATGAACATGTTAGAGGGAGGAATATGTTTTGCATTTAAGGAAAACAACTACATGAACAGCACTTAATCACCATTCAAACTGAATTAGTTTTTTCCAGGTTCTGCAATGTAATGTGTGTGAATTGACTGGCTGATTGGTACAGAATAAACTACTTGCCATCTGTATATTCTGTAATTGCCTACCCCCCCCTACCCAAACCCCCCACCTTTCACAAAAAAAAATACTGTCAGACTGTAGAAATCTATGTAATATTATTACACCAGTGTAATATTTGGCCAATAAAATCGTACTACTAAGCCTGCCAATAATGTATTTTTAAATGTTAAATAAGAAAAACACACTCAGGAACGTGATGCTAAGAAATTTGACAGGTGAGAACTGACAATCATATTGGAAAAAATCGTCTCAGTCAGTAAAGAACAGTTTAACTAAAACTATGGGAGTATTTTTAATTTTTGTCAAAATAAAACAAATGCAAACATTACCGGGTATCATCATTTTTGGGTTATTATAATATCGTTGACAAAACTTTAATATCGGTCAGACATGGCTCTCGGCTCTCGTCATAAATCATGGTACCTCACCAAGTAAAACTAATCCAACTGCAGTAGTTTTTAGAGTTTTATATCTGTAGAAAAAAAAGACTATTTTCGAAAAAGCACTCAGAGTGTTTGGCACATTAGATGAAAAGATAGCAGATGTAAGGCAGGGCTGACTCACCGCAATAAAGCTGGCGATAAAGTGGGTGGCAATATTGTCAGTGAAGATGCCAGTCCCCAACACCAGCTGCTTGGCTTGGTCATAGCAAGAGAGCTGGACAAGACATAGAGCTAAAATGATTTTGATGGCCATGAACATCACAATATTGAAGCAAATGCTTAGATGATGACCATACCTGCCCCACACTGACCAGAGCACCTCTGCTGGAGGCCATTGAAGCTCCAGAGAACAGTTTCCTTATTCCTTCTGCAAGAAAAGACACCTGTGCATCAACACTGGACTCAATTCTGTTAGTTCATAAAATACAAGCAAAAAAAATTAATTAACTGCTGGATAAAACTGATTAAAATTGTAGCCACTACACATCAATTTGCTGAAATGAAAACAGAACTGAATGGTATTGACCTCAATGCTTACTGATGAAGAAGTCACTGGTAATATACTGCAAGCAAATCTATACTTTCATATTTTGTTTTTAATAACTCTTACCTTCTCTCCAAACACGGATGACTCCATCTAGAGCATGTGCATAGCTGCAGAACAGACAAAATTAGATGGTTAAATTAGGGAACACAGTGTTAATATACTTTTTTATGATATTAAAATTGAGTGCTATGTTAAACATCCAGCAAGACGGAAATATAATGAAGCATGGCTTAAAAAAATCGCTAATCAGACCAGTCCGGAAACTGTCTGGCCATGGCCTAATATTCTGATATGCACACGTGATTGACATCTCTCTGTCCAACATTCCCATCCGGCTTTTATATGGTGACCAAATGGACAGACTGACAGACAGACAGACAGACAAATGAATGAACAGGTGACAGGCCAACAGACAGATGAGCTAGCTTGATAGCTCAGTTATGCTTGCTGGGTTAGTTTTTGCTTGGGTGGGACAAACCATGTCAACCTTGCCAACTAGTGAGGACACGACTCACATAAGTTCTGCTTAAAATTAGAACTGCAAAGTTTACAGTGAAAGAGGCCAATTTGGTAAAATGTACAGCCATTTATTGGAATTTTAAGGATGGTCTTTGGAAGGATCTTCACAGGGCATACTCTGTAATGTATATTGTGTGCCCACAAGAACAAGATTAACCTTTTTGGAAATAAAATACAGACTTAGGTTCCCTGGGGCTTTTAAACTAGACAGCAGGGAAAACATCCATCTATGCTTTTTGCTGTCCAGGATTAAATTAAGGCATCACTGACTAAATAATCTTCACTGTAAAAAAAGACTTTTCGACTCACACATACTCACTTTCTCCTAAGCTCTGGTGGCAACTTCACATCATTCTGCATTCTGTTCAAACAGGAAAAAATCATTTTTACAGAGCAAATGTACTTAGTCATCTTAAGTGAAAGAAAAAAGGAAAGAAGAACCATCTCACCTAACATTCACCATGTCTGCAGGGGTCCCGATGAAGCCCCCTGTAAGCCCTTCAGGTACATACACATATTATTAGCACTGGTTGAATTCCCCAAAGCATTAAATACACTAGTGATATTCTCCCTTTACCGCAGCTGGAACAGTACATACTGTACATGTATGTAATATTCAGATGGACATTTCTGAATCTCATTAAGGATTACCTCATGTGAGATATTAAATTATACAGGGTATTATTAGTTTCTTTATCAGTATGTTATAAATGTGCTGACCTTGTTATTTCTACATTGCCCTATAAAGCCAGTTTAAGACATGAAAATCACTACTTCAAATAAGCTCAACAAAGTTTGTTGGAGTCTATTCATTAGTACTGGTCAGGAACAAAAATGAATGTAAAAGTAAGTGTAGGCTGGGTTATGATCTGTATCTCAAAGCAAAAATATGTAAAATGATTATGTTTTTATGTACTAAGAGACAGAAAACTGAATAATAAAGCATGATAGCAATATTATTGACTTAATTTACAAGGTGTACAATATTCATCAAATGTGAACATTGTGCTTTGTGCATTGTGCATATACCTCCAAATGAAGCCAGTAAGACTTTCTGGTAGAAGGGCATGGGCCCCTGCTTCCCATCAGTCACCTTGTCTCGCACTGTCTCATAAATAGCAAAACGGGTCATTGAGTATGTCAGCTGGAGAACCAAGAGAAAAAAAAACAAACACATGGCTCCTCAGTAAACGACCACACTGACCAGCTGATATAATGTTCCAACAAAGCATGTTTCACTTTAATGCTATTTGGTAGGGATGCACAGATATGGGAATTCTTGGCCGATGACGATTTTCATGTACTTATGTGCCGATGCTGATACATAAACATTTTTAAAATGTAGAAATTGAACTAGATCCACCTGGCTTAGCATTACAGAGAAATATAATATTTATTTGAGTACCTTGCCTTACAACACCTCTCCACCATGAATGTCTGGCTGTCATAGAACAGTGCTCTAGGAATCAGGAAGTGTATTTCTAACCACTGCATGTAATTGCAACTTCACTTGATACAACTTTTAGAGACATTAATCGCTTTTGACGTCTGGCTCCTATCACCACTACTGTGAACAATCCTGACATTGTAAGTTAACAGGAAGAGACCACTAGAGCCAGAGAAGATGTCTTCAGAGCTCCCGATGGCTGCCCAGGTTCCTCTAATTCTCCCTCTCTGACTTTAGCTCTGAATTCCTTTAGTCTCATCTCCTTTAGTGTAGTGAAGTTTCTGGAGTATGTATGTCTTGTGGGAGTGTCTTGTAAAGGAAGGGTCTCTTAGAGGAGGTGTCTTTATAATAGGTGGGGCATACAGTACTGTACAAAATTCAGAGACCCTTCATTTATTTGATTTCCAGTCAAAACAGCCAATAAGTACATATTATTAATTTTTCAGGAGATGTTTCTAAGGTGATTGGATATAAGATAATCCGCTTGCATAAGCAAGGAGAATGCTAAAGGAAAATAATTAAAAACCAGGAGTTTCCAAAACTGGAGTTCTAAAAATGATTAAAAGGTACAGAGAAAATGGGACACATAACAAGATCCGCGAGACCACCGAACTGTCATCATCAGATAAACAGTACTTTCATTTTTAAAGAATAGGAAAAACTTAGCTCCCCTCTTGCTTCAGATCTAAACATCTCCACAAGTGTTTCTGTCCATCCTTCCACTGTGAGAAGACAACTCAACTCTAAGAGTCTGAAAGGATGTGTAGCTGTTCAAGAAGCTCTTACTGAGAAAAGGAGAAAATTACAAATCAAACAAAGTGTGATTCTGGTGTTCTCAGGACGATGGACTGTCCATCCCAGAGTCCAGACCTCAACATCGCTGGACATGTCTGGGATTATGTGGATCAGGTGAAGCAGAAAATGTAACCAACTTCTAAGATTTCTTTGAAAAACTGAAAACAAGTCTGCTGAAAAGAATGGAAGTGGTAATAAAGGGAAGGAGAGGACACACTAAATATTGAAAATTATATATAAATATTAAATATAAATTATATAAAGCATATTACATTTTGTTGCTGAAGCTTCTGTGTAATTTTCTGTAAAACATATGTTCTCTGTTTTTTTCTGTTGCTGAAAAATGAACAACTTTGTGGCCGTTTTGACTGGAAATTAAATGAAAGAAAGGGTGGTCTCTGACTTTTGCATAGTGCTCTATGTCTTGTACTTGGTGTGTGTGGTGGTGGATGTGTCTTGTAGGGGGCGTGTTTTGTTGTGGCACTGAGTGAGAGGATCCAGTCCAGTATAGTACTTGTGTCAAGTTATGGGCATATGATACAGCGTATGGATCATGCTGTGGGTATTTCATAGGGGGCGTGTCCTGTAGAGAGCGTGTCATGTAGACTTGCAAGTCCTACATTTCACAGATTGAGGTTCATTCTCCCACAGCAGTGAGCTAACCTGGCGGCACATGGAGGCGCTGAGACCACTGTAGAGCGCAAGCACGCCGTCGCTCCGCACCACTCGCAGAGCCATACCCGTCATCCTCATCTTCACCTCCTGCTGTGTCTGCAAGTGAACCTGCACAGAGAGCCTTTGAGACACCCAGTGGGCCAGACAGAACAACACAGCATAAACTAATATGTCTGACATTCTCTGAGCTCAATTACTTAAAGAGTAAAGAGTTTCATTGTCCAAGCCTACGACTTTGTCTCTAGGTTAAATTTGAATAAATAATGGTGACCAAAAGCTATTTAACATATGCTAGATATCTAACATGCCTCTAATAAATATTAGTGTTAGTAGTGCCAATCTGTTACTAATAGAGACGGGCCTTTAGTTTGATCTATAAATGTCAAAACACAAAAAATTAAGAAAAAGCCTACCTCTGCGATACTGGTATTTCTGCTATTTTGCACCTCTATGTAAGTATGCTAGTGTTAAGCTAACACTAGTGCATGCTACATTTTTGGCCCATTCTCAATGAAATACACACAAATATTTTCCCATTGTATGTAGCAGTTTTACAGTGATTCATTCATTAATGAAGCCTGGCATGGAGCTGCTGCTGCTGTTTTCCATTTCAACTGACTGAAGCCTGGCTATGCTATGGCCCGTATTCACAGTGAGTAATATTCTGGCTCCAAAAATTGGTGTTACGACCCCTGGTCGTAGTTACTTTTTGTGTCTTTGTGTGGCCATTTTCTGCGTTTTCCCTTGTTTTTCTATGAGGCGCAGGTCTGTGATTGGCCACATGGGGGTGCACTGAGGTATAAGAGGCTGCCGAGCCACAGTCTTGGGAGACGTTCAGGGCTCTTTCCCCTTTGAAATGACCTGGAAGAACACCTGTCCAGCCCAGCCCAGCCCAGCACTCTTCACAACAGTCTTTGCTGAAAGTTTTTTTTAGACTCTGTGCAACTTTCTGTGAACACTGGAAAAGTAGGGGACGGGTGCCACTTTGTTTTGGCTATTGTTTTCTCCTGCGTAAGGTGGGGAGTTAGGGTAGCCATATGTCTTTTTGTTTCTTTTGTTTTCAGGTTTAGTTGTTTTTTTGTCATCATTAGTAGTTTTATTTGTTATTTTGGCAAATGCTTTTCCCTGAAGCCACCACCTCAACTTGTCTGAGCTATTGAAGAAAATAAACCTGTCATTTTGTGGTTTAAACAGTGTCCGGTGTCTGGTCTGGCAGCAGGTCTGGGGAGAGAGCCCACTCTCATTCTCTGTTACGGCCTGACCCTTAACACTGGATTCACACAGTGAAATCAAAATGTGACTGGTTGATTCCACTGTCACTACTTAGTTATGTGACTGACTTGTCAGTTATGAAACTGACCAAGGACCATATTTTTAAAGAATATATTAATGATGTCAACAACATCCTCAGAAAAATATACTGTGACATAATGTGATGTAATTTATCACGATAATAATAAATATTTTTATTTTGCGCAACCCTAGTAGAGAGTGCCCCCCTTCAAAAATAACTTTCAGTTTCCCAAAATATCCCCTGCGTGGAAGTTAAATAAGCATTTTATTACCTACTTGCTAGTGACACATACTAGACATACAGGCATAGAGTTACATGTAGTAAACAAAGTGGGCTCATTCAAGCCTACTATTCCAGCAGAATGATGAATAGAAAATAAAAAAAAAACAAATTCACAGTATGACACCAATCTTTACTACAAGATATTTTACATGTGTATGTGTACTGGGTGTGAAACAATAGCACTTAGGCCTATATATATATATATATATATATATATATATATATATATATATATATATATATATATATATATATATTAAAAATAGGATTTAATGAAAACAGTTTTAATTTCAAATTGTGAATATTTTGAACATATTTAAGAGTTTTCAATGAACTTCTGCTTTATGATGCTGGTTTTCTTAAGAGCTTCTGACACTAGAAACCATAAGATGCTTATTTCCACAGCTTTTAGTGTCTTAGCTCTTGATTGCTTTCAGTCCTATCATACTAACAGGCAATAGTTTATCTCAATAAGTATGCACAAGTCATTCACTGCCCTGTTGCTCACAGAGTGCCCCAGGGCCCTGTCCTTGGACCCCTCCTTTTTATATTATACATTTCATCCCTAGTTCAGATTATTCATATTCACAGTCTTAGAGGCTTGTGAGAGGTGCTTTATAAATCAAACTTATTATTATTATTATTAATCACACATGCTCAATGAAATAGGAGCATGTCCAGACAGTAAGTGTTATTTAAGCTGTGTTTTAATATAGCTCTATCTGTTTCTATTCAAACTTTGATAACACTCAATTTAAGTACCATACAAACATTTTAAACATTTTACACTGAGCCTTTCAAGGATGGCCCTCTATTTCTTAGTATGTTTGCGCCATCTCAGCTTCCTTTAGATAAACACGAGATAGCACTAACTTGTTCACTTTGTGCAATTTTTAGATGCTCCCTTAATGACTGACTCTGAAGTTATGTAGGTTTTGAACCACTATCTTTAGATATTTAACGAAGAACAGTGTAAAGTGTCATTTCTAGACTTTCAGTTGATAAGAAACAGAAGAGAGAAACTCCAGCCAATACACAAGATAAAAGCGCCACAGAGAATTTAAATAATCATAAAGCATGTTCAAGTTCACATTGTACTAGCAGGGGCGGTAATTTTTCAATAAGGCTTTTTTTATTCAAATTATTCAAACACACTGTAAAGCTGTTTGTTGACTGTTTAACTGTCAACAGACTGTTGGACTGTTCCATTAAAGGGGAACTCCACCAATTAAAAAAAAATTATCTACATAATTCAATGGTTCAGAAGTCATCAAGAGTGGTTTGGTGTGAACTGCTCCATTCTAGAGAACCTTAAGTAAGAAATGTTGGTGGGGATAGGAACCAGACATCTGAAGAGTTGACTTCTACTGCCTCTAAAAGCTCTCTCACAGAGAGTTATTACATAAAATGGTGAGATATATGCTGCCTGGTGTCTGACACATTGCTTTTGACAGTTTTGTGATAAAGTTTTGGCTTGAAATGTATTCTAATCCATTTATTTTAATCCATTCATAGCAGGTCGTTGTAAGTCAAAATAGCTCCTAAAGAAAACTTTTTTTTCAGATTTATGACTATTTTCCATCATCAACATTTCATATATAAATTAAGACACATAAAGGTTCACTGGTGGTTTTGGTTTGTAAATAAACTGCCTATATTTGTGTTGTAGACATGGCGACCCCTGGTTCCTATCAGCACCACTGTACAAAAAACAGAGTCTGTAAGTTTCTCTACAATTAACCACTTATCATCAAATCACTCTGAATGACTGTTTAAATCTCAGTGACTGAATTATTCAGAATTTTTGAAACATTGGTGGAACTCCCCTTTAACTGTTATAAGGGAGCGCTACTCTCACTTAATCTTAAAACGTTAAGACCGTTAAAGTTAACCAAGTAAAGGCGGGTGAAGTTCGCTTCTTATAAGAACTGTCCGTGCCACCTTAAATGGCGCCGCAATTACATTCTGGCGCCACATGCTATGTCGTGTTAACTCACAGGCGCCAGAATAGATCAGCTACAGCATTTAAGGTGGAGCGGACAAGTCGAGTAAGTAGCTCCGTAGCCGTTCACCTTTGATTATTAACTCTACCTTTATGAGGTCCAGCGGATGTGTACAGCAGGCGGCAGCACACGAGGCAAGTCCACCGAAGTACCAGCGAGAAACCCGCTTCTCTGCCATGACTTCAAAACCCATCTGTTCACTGACAGTGAGGGGAAACAGCTGCCTTCAGTTCAAAGCTGAAGCTGCTCTGCTCTGAGCGGAGGCCTCAGTCACGCAGCCATGCGCCTCAGCTCCTCTCCTAATCCTCCTCCTTCACTCGTGGTACTTAATGCTGCCGGAGCACGTGCATTTCTAAACACAGTGGTTCCTCCGCGCACAGTTAATGATGAAAAGTGCCAGACATTAGTTGGGAGAAGACACCGTGGTGTCCTTCAGGTCCACGCTGTCCTGTAAAGGAGTGGTGGCACTGCTACAGCTGCTGCTCAGACCTCAAGTGGCGCACGCGTGTGCCAAGAGGATCAGATACCCAGAGACATTGTTGCTGGGGGTGGGGGGCTGGGGGTGAGTTCTTCAAGTGGGTCATTCGCACAGAATAGCCTCAAACGATGTCCAGAAATATGTCATAATGTAGTACATCACCTGCAGCTGTTATTTTACAACAAAAAGTTCCATTATTCATTTTTCTTTTTTTTATTTAATTGTTTTCATTCTTATTACTGAATCCATATACACTATAATGTAAAAGTCCCCCTCCTTTTTTTAAATTTCCAGTCAGGTATTCATTTCTCAGCATTAGAAAACAAATTAAAAAAGAAAAGAAAAAAAAAAACAAATTTAACAGAAAACTGCAGAGGCCTCAGAAACTAAATATAATATTTAGTTATTTATATTTAATTATTATTTAACTATTAAGTGTGTCCACCTTTTCCTTTTACTACAGCTTCCATTCTTTTCGCAAGATTTTTTCAATAAAATCTGCAGGGATATTTTTACCCAACTCCAAAGTTCAGCCTTAGAATTTGGTTGTATTTTGTGCTCCTGCCAATCCAAGAAATCTCAAACAGATTCAATGATGTTGAGGTCTGGACTCTGGAGAGGTCAGTCCATTGTTCTGAGAACACCAGCAGCTTTTGATTTGTAAACTTTATTTTTGTTGAGAATCCTATTTTTCCTCTATATCCTTACGTTATTTAACCTGTTAAACAATTTTGGAGACGTGTTATTGGTAATTTTGGAAACCTGTTAGAAATCCTCTGTTTTCACTTGAAAACAGGAAAGTAAATTAACTGTACAGAATTGTCATTTTACCTGGAAATTAAATAAATGAAGGGTATTTCATTTATTTTGCACAGTACACAGTATCTCATTACTGATATTCATCAAGATTTTTTTTGTTGCTTTTTTATATTAATAAGAGAAAAATAAGCCAATGTGTTTAGGTAATGAGATAAAATTGCAGAATACTATATTTTGTTGTAAAGTGCAGCTTTAAAATACCAACAACAGTAAATAGATTATTTTAAAATAAAGTTGTGAGGAAAATACATTATTTACATTCCTATCTTCAAATCTTACTGTGGTGTGGTAATGAGAATTTGGTCAAGTAAATCGTAAAAGATACTAAAGATACAAAAATTGATTTTAAAAAGAATTAAAAATCAATTAAATTATTTGGGATTTTTTAAAACTAAACCAGGCAGCAATATTTGTATATTCACATGTATTCAAATAATAAAACATTAAGCTTTTTATTTATTCCAGGTTGGGCTCCAGTATTTGTCATGGTCAGGAGAATAACCTGTGAGAACGAAGTATGGGCAAACATTCAGAGACAACTTTCTTCATGAGGGAAGTTCTTCATGCAGCTGGCTTTGGTGGAGTAAGCTTGTGTCCATGGATATTAGGATATCTCAGAATCAGAATGGGCTTTTTGAAATGCCCTTGCTGACCTATGTGCAATGAGTAGGTAACCTGAGCCACACTAATCCTTTCACAGCAAATTAAATGACATCTAAGAGTTCTGGAGGGCTGGGCTAATGAACATGCCAGGCTGATATCTTCGGTGCTCGCTTCTCTGTGTCAAGAGCTGGACGCAGCCGGTTTCCGGGTGGAAATGCAGCCCAGGTCTACGTGACGAACATAAATAGTAGCAAGCTATTCATGACCTCAGCAGAAGTTGTGAATGGACCAGCAGTGAGAAAATAGGATGGTGTGTCTCCTACAAAGCCACCTCAAACTTACAATACTATGGCAACTTGAAAACACAGAACAGGTAGAAGTCTGATCTGCTCTCAGCTGACATTCACAATAACTTGGCCTACACACACAGTAGGTCACAGGTCGAGGGATTGAATGATGAAGGGCGGCCGAACTCTGAGCGTACAACTCTGGGCAACAAGTCAAACTGGATGAGTCATGATGAACCAGAGAAACCAAACACTCATAAACAACAGTATTTTGGAGAAACAACCTCTCTTCTCTCCTAAAAAAGATGGTTCTTCAAGGGTTTTTCAATGAAGACAATGGTTCTATATAGAACCATGAATCTTCAAAGAATTTTTTGCTTGCTTAAATGGTTCTTTGCATGGTGAAGTCGCTCTTCAGATTGATTGAAATTGTTGTATATGGTTCGGTAAATGGTTCTATATAACACCAGAAAGTGTTCTGCTACTCTTATGATGTCAAGCTTGTTACAATAATCCTTCTGGTGCTAAATAGAACCCTTCTCAAAAAGGTTCTATATAGAACCATCTACAACACATTCTCCATCAATCTGAAGAACACTTTAATGATGCGAAGAACCCTTTAATCATGCAAAGGGTTTTTTAGTACTCATGGTTCTATATAGAACCATTTCTAAAGAAATAAGGAAGGTTATAAGGAAGCTGCATTCTGTTTCAAATTTAAGGCATGGAAGACTTGAGCTAATTAACACATTTTAGAGAGCACATTGTTTGCTGCAGTACACTTTGGTTTGGGCCTGAGTCCAAGTGGATTCAGTACAGTGTACCCACTTTGTTACATGTCTGTGGTTCTTTGCGTTGCCAGATAATTATCAACAGGCTGCTTTTGCTTAGTTTCCAGAGCAAAAATGTGCTTTGGGTGGACAAATTTTTTTTTGTTGTTTTGCCATAATTTTGGCAAGTTTTAAACACAATGGTTACACATTGCATTGCTTTTTCATGCACTGAAATTTGAAGTGACTGCTGGATTATGTGGTTCTTGCTGACAGAAAGACACCCAACATTCTAAAAGTAGGGCGACTGAACATGTTCCAGTTTTGAAGTCAGCTGTGGTGACGGACACCCTTAAAACTTAAATGGAGAGGGGAACTTTTTGAAATGGAAAGGAAAATTATCCAATCAGAATTCTTTTTGTTTTTCTGTGATGTATCTAGACAGATACCACAAAGCTAAACAAGCTCTTCCATTGCTTAGAACTTCAGGAGCTGAACCAAAGGCCTAATGTGCCACATTATTCATCAACATAATTAGGAACCTACAGTCACATTTTAATTGATAATGGTTGGCACGAATTTCATGAGGAAAAACGTCACTCTAGGCCTTCTGGAAGCCACAGACTGTGAGTACCAGTAGTAGCCTGACCAATACATTTCAGTCAGATGTTTGAAATGGAAAACTATGTTAGAGCTCTTTTATAGAAAGAGCCGCTGTAAAACTGCTGCAAGGTAAAATATATCTTAATATGTCTGCTTGCAAGTTTCAGATGTCCATGTTTAATCCAGAATGGCCAAAACGTGCATGTGCTGTTAGCTTAGCTCTAACATGCAACTAGAATGCCACAGAGGCGCTAGCAGAAATGAACATCATCGTAAAGGCGGTGTTATGCATTTTTTTAGTTTCTTTATGGTCCAAACCGAAGGCCTGGCTATTTAAAGGCCACAGCTTTTAAAATAAAAATGTTCTGAAATTTTTAGGGTGTGAAGTGAAAAGCAGAGCACAAATTAAACCCCCACAGAATGATGATGACCCCAGTTCTTTATTACAATAAGGAGTAGAACTGGCCGATAATATTGCATTGCAAAATTATGCTTTTTTGCTTGCTCTGCTTTTAGTGCACTACACTGGAAAAAAAAGGTGTAGAATTTACTTGATTCAAATGTGCACATCAGTTCCACACAAATTAAATGTTACATCAACTTGGAATGAGTTACTTGGAGTAAGTACTAACATATATTATGTTGATATTTCACTCCTGTTGAGCTAATATACGTAACTAAATCATGTATATTTAAAACAACCTTTAAGCAACCTTTGTTCCCAGTGTAGTACAAACAGCTTACTACAGACAGGTTGTAAGCTATGCTATACTACGGTATTATAGTTAAAATGCTTACTTTCATCTGTTTTAGACCTGTCTTTTTTGGGGGCAGTTCTTTATGTATTGAAAGGGGAACTCCACCTATTCTTCAAAATTTCTACATAATTCAGTCATTTATAAGTAAACAGAGTGGTTTTGTGATATGATTCATTGTAGAGAAACTTACTGACTTAGATTTCTTTACAGTAGTGGTGATAAAAACCAAAAGTTACATATGCAACATATCCAACACACATATAGCTATTTTGTTTACTATAAAAAACTACCAGTGAACCTACATGTCATCTAATAAAACTATCATAAAAATGTTTCAGGCATCAGGCAATATATTTTTTACTATTTTGATAACTTTACTGTGGAGTAGCTTTTACACGCTTGAAGTAGGAATTGTCTGATGTCTGGTTCCTATCACCACCACTGTGAACAATTCTGGTTCTGTATGTTTCACATCTAACCACTCTGAATGACTTTGTTTACATTATGATTTAATTAGTCAGATTTAAAAGAGTCTGTGAAATTAAGGGCATTTTCAACACATCTTTGGTTTTCTTGAAGAAAAAGCACTGAATTGAACATGACTCGCCCCCCCACCACAAAGGTTGACTGTACTTCAGTAGTGCCACATATTCAGGCAGCAGGATCACCAGACTCCTGAAAATATGTGTCAGTCATTTCTGATGATCAATATACAGTCAGGAGAAAAGCCTAAATGCTTTTGAATGGAAATTCAATCTTAGAGGTGGCAGCTTTTATGTTATGACTTATTTAATGTAAAATATTGTAAAGCAAATTCAACACAAATTCATACTGAATGCACATAAATCATTTAGAGTTCAGTCTGTAAACTTAGACCTTGTGATGACTGCCAGATACTAGTGTATGCCATATGGAGACATGAACGACCAACTACTTTTAACTCTCACTGCATATAAAAACCAGACTGAGTAACAACTCCTGGTTAAATTTGTCCAATTACAACCCACTTGTCAGCTGCACTGATGCTTGTTATTTGTTATCTCCAGTTCATTTGATGACACAGTTTTACACAGTATTATATGACATATTTATTTAACCACAGGCAATGGCAACCGTGCCCCTCTGTCTAAGGCATATGTCCCCATGCCCTATGAAACAGACACAGACATACAGGCAGAACTCCATCTGAACTGCCCAGGCCATCACATCTGTAGCTCTATGCTTACAGCTATCAGGCAGACAGACAAAGCCGATGACTGGGTGGTGAGTGTGCGCAGGCCCAGTGCCTGCTAAAGTCCAGTCTGTGAGTTCTCACACCCAGACAGTCACTGGCAGATCGTGGGGTAATGTTTAAAGGCATTACTTGTTTTCCATTCTGGTCACCTTTGATGTGTAAAAAAAAAAACAAAAAAAAAGACAAGACAGTATTGAAGAGGTGCAGGGTCTACTCCAGAACCACAGTGCCACCTGCTGCTTCCAGCGCCGTCTTCAGCTTTTCCGCCTCTTCTTTGGAAACGTTGGCCCGGATCTCCTGAGGCAGGGATTCAACAAGCTTCTTGGCCTTTAGGCGAAGAAAAATATAGAAATCTCTCAATAAGCAACACAGGAGCATGCTGACATAACAAGGAGGACAATATATGAAGGGTCTAGTTCCAAAACGCAATAAACACCACTTTCCTGAATTTATACTGTGCGGTTTACATATGTCAAATAAATATAAACACTATACTATGATTCATTTCACATTTTACTTAGAGAAATAGAAATTTTACAAGTGCACTTTTTACACGTCATTCTTTTCAAACCTGTACTTGTTACGACTAAACATACTGCATTTTGGAAGAAAATTCTTCATATATGAAAAGATGGCTTTAGTTAGCCTGTAAACAACAATAAGCAGTGTATAAACTGTACAATAAAAAGTAACTGATGAGATAGTTTTAAATTTTAATTCACTGATTCATCCTTACACTCTACATAAATAAACACACACCTAAACATGTTATTTAAAATAATTTATTTTGACTGTAAGAGTGTTTGGCTTGTAAAAAAAATGGCATTATAATGAATGCAAACAAACATAAATACAGTACAGAGTAACAGGTATTTCTTAATTTCAAAAAACTAGTTGATATATCATCAGAATCAAAGAATTAAATTTTATTCCCCATGTTACCTGCTTTTTATGGCATATGATACGACAGTTAGTTCCAGCCACGCAAGCTGACTGGTTGAGAAGCGTTCTAACCGTGCTTTTATTTCGCCATGACATCACGTTTTTTCACACTGTATCACTCCGCTGAGGCGTGGTTGCTAAGCAACGACTTTGACAGCTGTAGGAGACGCTAAAGCCATTTGAACGTTTTTACTTTGTGCACAAACAGAAAATGGATACTTTTAAAATTACATTTGATCTACAGACGATTTGGTCAGACTCTGAAGATGAAACTACACTAAATTCCCAAAGTGTCATCACCACTGAGCAGCTTTTCAGTCAGCAGCTGTGACAGAAGAATAGCTAAACAACCTGGAATTAACCAGAAATGAACCAAATACCAGTCACCAAACAAAATGGGCTGTAAGATGCTTTACAGACTGGCTGGAACAAAACAACAATAATATTGTTCTGGCAAAAAAAGACAAAACTGAGCTAAACTTGATATTGTAGAAGTTTTATGGCTCAGTCCGTACTTCAAAAGGCGAGGTTTACAGCAGACTGTGCGGCGAGTGGGCGGAGCTCGTTACTTTAAAGAAAGCAACAAGCTGCTTGTTAAGAAACTATAATTTGGTGGAAGGAACGGCTAAAACATATTACATGCCACGTTCACAGCCCAATTTATTTATTTCTTAATTTATTTATTTATCTGTTGTATAAAAGCAAAAGAACACTTGAGGTCGTGTGTTATCGCCTGCAACCAAATCACAGCCGTGATGTTATTTTGCGATAACACACTCCTTTTCATGTTCCATTGTTTAAACAGCTAACATCATTAGCTTCTATACAGTTTATGCAGTTTCTATTCACCGGTTGTTGTTTAGGCTGTCTCTAATTGGTCTAAAGCCAAAAAATGTACTGTGATGTAATCCATCATTACTATATGTGACATTATATCATCATAGTGCCCAACCCCTCTGACAGACCGTAAAGACTATACATTAAATTCAGACTGATTCTCCTGTATCTTCTAATGGAGTACCACGTATTGACTACCTAGCTTGTTCCCTATCAAAGTAAACAAACATACTGCAGGACCGAAACTTACCTGTACTAGATTCAAGCCCTGAATACAGTTCTTCACTTCCTTAATCAGTTTGACTTTATCCTCTGCCTTTAACTCTGTCAGTTTCACTGTGAAATGAGTTTTCTCTTTCTTTGCTGGGGCTGCGTCTTCTTCTGCTGCCTGCACACATAAATTCACAAACCAGAGCACATTAGACAGTCACACGATCAGCATCTGACAAGAACAGATGTGTCCATATCTGTATGAACAGCCCAAATCTTACCGAAGCTGCTCCTGCAGATGGCACTGCAGCCATTGCCCCCATGGGCATCATTCCTACATCCTGAATATTGAGGGTTTTCTAAGAAACACCAAAAAGAAATATTTATCAGTGACGTCTGTAATAAGACGGGTCATTTTATGAAAAATGTCACTTTGTGTGCACTACCTTGAGCAGCTCGTTGAGATCAGACACTTCTAAAAGGGTCAAACTGGATATATCATTGACCAGTTGCTGGATTTTAGGCGAGTATTGTTTGGGGGCTCCATCTAAAGGGGGGGTAGCGATGGCATTGGTCAGACTGGCAGGACTGGTCCTGAGTGTCCTCAGGGCACACAGGGCCGGTGCTGGAAGATGATGTCTGTGGAGGGTACACATTTAGAGATCATGAATAAAGTATACAAGTCAACACAATAAGCATGTTTTTAGAATGGAGCCAGGCTGCACAGTGTAATAGTTAATTATTAACCTGATGTTGACATACTGTAATGCTGATGTCCCAGATGGCTACAATATGCAAATGAACCCTTCATGAACCAATCATAGTGCTTTCCTGACCAATCACAGTTGTATATGAGCGTTTTGTTAAATTAAGGTATACATGTATTCCAATAAAAGCGAATTATTCATTTTGGTTATAAGTGTGCTTTAACATACTGCAAGGTGTATCACAACTGCATGTTTATCAATTAAATTTAATTTTATCTGAATCTTTGCTTGTCAAATGATGGTGACATCTGTATGCTTAACCAATACAAAATGATATTCATTGGGTTTATTGCAGTTTAAAAAAAGAAAGCAAACAGATCGTCCAGTTCTTGTTTACTCCCAATTTTAATCTACTGAGATTTTGGCTTCTTACACTTAACAGAACTGTGACTCTTGAATAGGACTGCAAAGCTGAACAAGGCTCAATCCAAGACAATACAATACATATGTCTTTCCTCTTTTCCTGAAGAACTTCCATACATTTCTAAGGCTGTTTCCAGGCTGCTTTTTGACTTCCCAAACTTTCTATGTTCAGTGTTCTTGCTATTAAAGGGGAATTCCACCAATATTTCAAAATGTCTGCCTAGTTGGTTAAGTTGATTATGTTGTCAACAAAGCCATTCAGAGTGGTTTGATGTGAAATCTTTCTTGTCTAAAGTGTTTAATACCTCTAAAAGCTATCTCACAAACAGCCATTACATGAAATGGTTACAAATGCATGCCCTAATGCCTGAGACAGTGAATAAAATGGCTATGTTTGTGTTGCTGCCATTGCGACCCCTGGTTTCCATCACCACCACTGTAAAGAAGTCTTGTCTGTAGTTTTCTCTACAATGAGCCATGTCATGCCAAACAACTCTGAATGACTTAACATTTCAAACAGTGAAAGTGAACTATTTTTAAAATTCGGTGGGATTTCCCTTTAAGAGCGAGGGAAAATGTGCATTAGAGAGACAGAATCAGCACATGAACAGACAATAAGAGCTTGAGAACAGAAAAGAAAATGACTTTCATCCTCTGAAGCGCACAAACCCTGGATCTTGATGACGTTACACTGACAAGACACTTCGACTTTTTTCCTGAAAACATCTAAGCGCTTTTAAATTCTCTACTCTTCTATACTCCTGCATAAGAAACCTAGCTAGCACATTCTAGTGGGTGCCAACCGTACAGTTAAACGGCATGTCATTTTACCACATACAACGGCACAGAGGACTTACGCCTCGTATTAAGCCTGGAAGTAGCCAAATTTGAAGTAGCCGCGTCTACTTGACCTTGATAGCACAGCATCTCTCCCACTCTTACGCAAGCTAACGTGGCTAACCTGCTAGAAAACAGAAAAGACTTTCTCGCCTGCTATGAACACCTTTAACACTGTCCTAGGCATGACAAGAAACCACGACTCGGCTTCATATTATGTATCCTGAGGAAATGGACTCTAGATCACGACCATGGGCCACCCAGTGTCCGGCCAATGCTGCGAATACGGACTATACTAGCTAACTAACTATATAGCTACATAATTCTGTTCCATAATCATACCTAATGCACAGACAGGGCTGTGTGAAGCGTCCTTTGCGTGCCAGATACAATTAATAATGTGTTCATAGATAATACTTCAGCCTGAAACGGGGCTCTTGTCACGAGGCTGAATTCAGCCTCCTATTCGAATCTTCCCGTTCCACCTTAAACGATGCAGCAGTTAACTGATGCACCATTTAAGGTGGAACGGGAAAATCCAAAGCCAGAACCCAGAACCTAACCACTGCCAGAACGTAACCACTGCACCATTTAAGGTGGAACGGGAAAATTAGACCACAAAGCTGGCGATTATGTAGCTGACTTCAGCTTCGTGCTCTTGTCCTTGAATCCTCTCCAGCACCAACTTAAACACGTAACACATGAGTGTCCTCTCACCCGTGCGCCTGAGCGGCCACCCGCAGCGATGTCCGGATGCAGTGCAGTGTGCAGTACATGTTAACTAAAACCTGCCCCTGTTATTCCGCCCTTTCTGTGATCAGATCGCTCCCGCTGCTGCCTCCAGACCCCCGGCTCCCTCTCGCTCAAAAGCACATGGCGTCCTCCGCTCTCTTTCCCTGACCTACCCACAATGCACTGCTGGTGACGTGGTTGCCAGATGCGTTCCTAACCATTCCCCCTCACGCTTCATTCTGCTCTGTAGTTCTCTCTGGATCATTTTAAGTGTACTCTGACAAACATTCCCTCTTTCTGCACTCAATACTACACTTAAAACTGTGATTCCGCGTAATTTTCTGTTAGCGTCATCTCTCAAAATTAAAGCAAAAAATGTTTTTTTGTCCAACTTGGCAACACAGCCGTGTTCTTTTCCCCTGTCATACAACTTTATTGAAAAACCAGTTGAAGGCTCCTAAGGTTCCTAAATTGTCTATCGCTTATTAAAAGGGCACACTGGGTAAAATGAAGAATTTTACTATTTCTGTATCTGTTGTAAACATGCCGACTCGCCTCCTACGTGGGAGTCCCAAGAGTGATATTTTCCAGTTTAAAAGTCAAGAAAAAAAACACTTTTCATGATGTGTTTTGAAGGTGGGAAGAACTTTTGAGAAACTACAAGTACATGAGAGTTGGCTGTTTGATTTTTTTCCTGCTAGCTGGATAATTCAGACGCCGAATAGCTAACACTACTGCTAGGAACTCGAATAGCATGTCTTTAATTATTAGTCTCTACAAAAGTGCATTTATTTATTGCCACTGGGGGATTCTCAATGACATATTTGTGCAATGCATGCTGGGTATTGTAGTGAGAGAACATTGATAGATGAAAACACAAAACGAATACAAAATCCTGCCAAATCGATGACGTTGATGGATACAGCGCTGCACTATAGAATACAACATAACACAATAAATAATATACTGAAGGCTAGGCTTTTACTGGAATGTGTCCTTAATTAAGCACTGATCAGTTAAAGGAAATGTATTCAATACTATAGTGGGACACAGCAAGTGATATAATATCTAGAAACAACATATCTATGAAAACCATATCCGAATTCTATGTAAATCATAAAGATTCTAAAAGCTATGTGTCCTGATATTTATCCTTCGTAAAGCAAAACAGTCTGACTACAATGTTAAGAGGGAGGAGGCCACGAGAAGCTTCTTAAGCAGTAATCTCCAATTCCATCTGCCATCAGTAGTGTACAATGCCTCACAGTGCCTCCATTCTTTGTGTTGGCTGCGTATAAAGCAAACAGTGAAGACCGGTGAGTGTGAAAGAATCAGATTTCTATAGTGCTGTATGATACTTTGATAATAATCAATAATACTTTTACCTCTTTACAATATTCATGTTGTACCATTTAATAGTAATCTGTCATATTTGTGTAGTATCATCTAGTGAACTATAGTAATTGTGCTAGTTTACTATATTGAAATCCTATAGAAATTCATGTGCTTCAAAGCTAATTCTTTACTATAGTTCTTTTTTTATAAAGGTTATGTTGCATGAGAGATGATTCTAGGCTCCCCCTCTTGTGTGCAGATCATGCTGGTGTCCCCTGCAGCCGAGCGCAGCCAGGCCTCTCTGCTGTCAGTTCTGCAGGACATGCTGGAGGATCAGTCCAATAAAAAGCTGTTTGGCCTGGAGCTGGGCTCAGGCACGGGACAGCACGTTACTCACTTTGCTCAGGAGCTGCCCTTTATTACCTGGCAGCCATCAGACATCACAGAGGAATCACGAAACAGGTGAGCGGGATCTGGACATTCAAATTATACCCTTATAATTGGTCGCTTAGTCAGTTTGTTTGCGCTCAATGTTGGTCTACCCTGAAAGGGGCACCCTGACTAAAATGAAAAATTTAAGTATCACTACCATCTGTTGTAAACATGACTACTCACCTCCTGAGGTGTGCAACAGTAGTCTCTAGAGAGAGATTTTCTGTTTCAAAGATTTGGAAACCCTTCTTCTTATGATGTATGTTGAAGGTGGGAGGAGCTTTTTAAAAAACTACAAGGGCTTTGGGGCGAATACTTGAAGGCAGGTTTTTGGAAATGTGATTTTTTCCCCCTAGCTGGCTAATGTTACTGCTAGTACACTGAATGTCATGTCTGTATTCATTAACCTGCCGATCAGTTGCTATGCTAGCAGTCAGGATTTCTTTATCGCAGTGGAAGGATTTCCAATTGTTATATTATGTATTTGCATACATAATACAAGTTCATAATGTTATTTGTCATGTTTTGTAGTAGTCTGCAGCTATTATAAAACATGACAAATAACACATTAAGTGCTTGTTTTGGACCAGAATGCCATTTTAATCTGAGCATAATTGCACTTAGATATAGACAATTTGGATGGATATGACAATACAGTCACTGAAATGTTCTTTATTGTTCTGATCATTTAGGCTGAATCTGTAATGACTCCCTACTCCCTATGTAATGCACAACATGGCTTTTAAAATAATGGCTCCTGCACCCAAGGTGCATAATATATCTAATGGATAAGACATTTGGGATTCAGCCACACGCACACAATGTCATACTTGACATAAAGTGCACTATTTGGGTGAAAAAGCCAAAATTCCATAATTCAAATAGTGCACTATGTAAGGAATAGGGTGCTATTTAATATGCAGTTAATATTCAGCCTTAATTTAGATAACAATGATACTAGAATTATAGTGATGGTTCAATCAAACATCAAATTTACACATTAAGTTCCTTACCCTAAATGCAGTTGATCAGACATATTTGGTGTTTGAAGTTTATTTCTTTATTTTTGCTGTAGAATTGTGTGAAGAGGCTAATGCAGCTAAAAAAAAACACTTTTGCCTCATATTGCATTGAGTTGTTAGTGTCCAGAATACCAGCAACAGTCTTTACACCGAGGCAAATACACCAAGTTTTAGTATATGATCTATCTGTGCTGTAGTATCCAGGCTTATATTGATGCCACCAAGGTGCAGTCAGTGCTGCAGCCAGTGTTTCTGGATGCCAGGGAACCCTGGGAGAAGTGGGCAGGACTCCCACAAGGCTCCTGTGATGTCATCATAGCTATCAACCTGCTTCAGTACAGCAGCTTCAATACCGCAGAAGTACAACTACCACACATCAATCATAATTATATCAAATGACAAGCTTGTATAAGATACCTTTGATTATGTGGATATCTATTGGTTTCATTAAAATGACTCTTATTGTGCCCACAGGGTGTCTTTAAAGGATCTGGACAGATTCTAAAGCAGGATGGCATCTTAATAACTTACGGGGTGAGTAATATAATATAGAAGAGGTTGATGTGAGTGTGTACAACAGACATAAGCTATTGAGGACTTAAGGATCTTGCATTGGGATCTATACAGTGTTTTCATAAGAAGTACAAAATCATACAGTACTGTGCAAAAGTCAAAGACCACGGTTCATTTTTTAAATTTCCAGTGAAATCTGTTAAGTTATTCACGTTTCAGGCTCAGAAAAAAAGCAGAAAACATATTTAAAAGATAATTACACAGAGGCCCTCTATAATATAGGGATATTTATTTTACATCTCTAAAGTTCAGGCCTAGAAGTTGGTTGCATTATTTGCCTCTCACAATCCAAGTAATCCCATATACATTACATGATGTTGAGATCTGGACAGTCCATTGTTCTGAGAACACCAGCAACTTCTTTGGTTTGCAATTTTTCTTCTTATTCTTCTCTTTTGTCCATTTTCATCTCTCAGTAAGGACATCTTGATGGCTACACATCCTTTCAGACCCAGTGTTGAGTTGTCTTCTCACAGTGGAAGGATGGACAGGGAAAAACACCTGTATTTTTTCTGATCTGAAGCAAGAATGAAGTTTGATTTTCAATCCTTTAAAGATGAAGCTTTAAGTTCTGTTTTTCTGATGGCGACAGTTTTGGTGGTTGTTAAGAGTCCCATTTTCTTTATAATCTTTGTTTTTTAAAACTTCAGTGCTGGAAAATAATTTTATATGTAATCACTTCCAAAATACTGTGTAAAAAAAAACTGTACTTAATTGCCATTTTGACTGGAAATTACATAATACTTGCACAGTACTGTATGTGAACGTAGCTCAAATCAAACACTGATGAATGACTGTTCTTGTCTTTTCTATAATTGACGCTGCTGCTTTACTAATGTATAATTACTATATGATGTTTGAAATCCTATTTTAGCCTTATGCTATCAATGGAATGATCACACCAATCTGCAATGAAGCATTAGACCAGAGGTTACGAGAGATGTGAGTTTTCGCTTTAACCTATTGTTGTCTCTGCTTAAATCATAGAGATTGGCATTTCATTGAAACTATAAGTATAAAGTTTTAAGTAATTCTTCACCAGGAATCCAGAGTGGGGCCTTCCAGACATCGACGTGCTAAGACAGCTTGCATTCGGAAATGGGTTACGCCTAGAGAGAATGGTGCGTAGCAGTTCATCAAATATAAAACATAAGACCATTAATGTGTGCTAGTACAATGAACATGTATTACTTTTGTATCTCTCCAAAAGATCGAGATGGAAGAAAGTAACAAATGCCTGGTCTTTCGAAAGGTGTGACACATCAAGATCCTCCCAGATGGTTAAACAGGATTCAAAACCACACAGACGGACCTCCAGTAAATCAATAATCTCAAAATGTTTTTACTTAAGATAACAGCTACAGTTCAGTGTCAAGATTTCCCCCCATAAGTCTGTGATAAAACATGTTTGTCTGTTCTGGTGCACTTCATGATTTATTTTGCACGTTTCCCATACCACCACCCCTCGACACAATAAAAGAAGCATTGTCAAATGTGCACAATAAAAGAATGAGATATTTATTAAATATAATCTTAAAATTCTTTTCTTTTGAGAGTCAGACAGATCAGTATGATGGAAAGTTGTCCACAGATGGCATTAAAGGGTTACAGAAGTCACTGGTTGGTGTAGGTTACAAACATGCAGTACCAGTCCATTCTTAAATCAACGTCCACGACATCAATCATCTGCGTCCTATTTCTCGTTCACATCTTTCGCTATACAAAAACACTAAATTCACCAGCTATTTTCCCCCATCAGGTACTGATCTTGCATTCCAATTTTCTTTTCAGTCCTGCAGTCAGGCGTTAACTGGTTAACTGATAACCTTACAGCAAAGACCAACAGTTGAGATACCCAGCAATCCAAGGAAATCTACCTAAACGCAGCACTTGGAAACATAAGCCAGTTTCTTTTGTACAAATCAGCACTAAACGCAAAATGGCCATAAAGCCACTGTCCCATCTAATTTAATCTACAAAAGCTGAGATCCATGCCGACGACTGCAACAATTATTAGCCAGGATTCCTTAACAACGATCTATGCATGAAATGCAGGGTACTCTAGTTAATTTGAAATCTTGCTATAGAAGGTTGCATACAATAGCTTTGCCATAGGGAACATTGCTCTGGAATGTCATTGGATTTGAGAGAGTTTCTATCCATTTTGAAAACCGAGAGGCAGGCAAGTGACTGAGTTTCGGCACTGAAAGAGGCCGGGTACATATTTGTCACAACTTTCAGAGTAAGACAGCTGATCTCGTGTCATTCATGGCCTTTTAGCTCCTTTTGAATACAAGAATATGTATATAACATAGATACAATATGGATACAGTGGGATCAGTCTCTTGATCTGAGCGGCATCATAAATATTAATCCCAGTGCTTCTTCCGTCTCAGCCTCTCCTTACTAAAGCCATTCTAAAGACTCTCAAATGAATAAAAACATTTTCACTAAATCAGCACACAATGCTTTGCTGGGGGAAGAGTCGCTGTACATCCACTCATTCCCACCACTGAAAACAAACACATGCAGATCAACTTTAGAAAAATATGAGACAAAAAGATGGCAATGTCTTATTTAACATTTTGATTCATATTGTACTTGTGTTGTTTAATTCTATAATATGAATGACTAGCTGAGCCTCAGTGTTGTTTCATAAGGAAACACTACATACATTTCAAAAGACCAAGACAGAGAGAGGCTAAAGTTGGCAGAATTGAGGGGGGGCAGTCCCCACCAGGACCTTCTCTCTTTCATATAACGCAATGGGGACAGAGGGGAGTGCATGGCAGCAAAAGACCCTCACAATATTTCTGACAACAAGAAGACTGTTGCAGAAATCTTGCAAGTAGCCTGACTGTGTGGGGTAAAAAAAGCCCAGGATCTGAAGGGAAAAGTGCAGGGGCTGTCTGTAGTGTACTGGACCTTGGGGGTGGGGTGGGAGTATGTCATAAGGTGGACCATCAGTCAAAAGAGATTAACTGAGCCTCTGCACTGCCAGGAGGCGCTTGCTGGGGCTGCTGCTGCTGTTGTGCTTGCTGCTGAGGACCACCAGGGGGCGCCATCTGTACAGACACAAAAACAAGTTAACAAATCCAGTGACAGAAATGTATGCATGTTGGGCCGGTCATTCTGGAATGTCCCTTCGCTTTTTAATAAGCATTTTTAAAAACCAGAGTGAATCTACAATTTTTTACTGTTTAAAGAAGTAAAAACAACACGTAACATTATATAGATAAACCTATGTCAATATTGCTTTGTAACACTAACCCCAAGGCCCAGCAGAACAGTGGTTCATGTCTTAATTTCTACAAAGCTGAAGTTGGCTTCTTATTCGCAAGCTTTTCATTTGTTTTTTTCCTCTTCCACTTAAATGGAGCAGCATACATTCTGGCACTAATATGGGTGCATGAATGCAAGTGCCAGACCATTTAAGTTGGAGCGGCAAATTCGAATGAGAAGCAAACTTCAGCCCCGTCATATTTCTTATGTCATTTGTCTCATTAGTGCATCCCATACACTCATGCCTCCAACCAGATGCTGCTAGAATGTGGAAAATATTATAGTCATTCACGCTTCAGTACCAGCTGATTCAGTTTGTCCTCAGTAGTGTGGATTCCATGCTTGGACTGGTCTTTTTGGGGTTAGCCTTTTCTTTATATCTCCTACTTTATATCCATAACTGAAACATACAGCACTCCATATGCTGCCTACTAATAGTCACACAGAATGGTATTTTGCAAGTGGACTGACCTGCTGATACATGGGCTGCTGACCAGGCATGTACTGCTGCTGAGGAGGCATGTTGGGGTCCTGTCCTGGAAGCGCAGACATCATGCTCTAGAAGAGGGAGAGTGTGTACACCACATTAGCTGCTGTCTAAATCCAGCATACTTGGTAAATATGATTTTTTACTAAAGAATTGGACATTTCTTTTCTAAACATAACAGGTTGTGTTCAACAATGTGACTGACTGAAGCTCGGCCCACACAATTTATTTAGCTGACAGAGTATAGTCCAACAAAAGTTAAACACTGGTGAACTTTTTAAACCAACAACAGAGCAGAATTTGCAAGCACTGCCATGCACTGGTGTCTTGTCCAACACTTTGCTCTCAAAATCAACAGCAAGAGGTGCACATTTGACAGACACCAAAATGTCCTTTCGAATGTAGTATTAAAAATAATAAATCCTTGCTCTTGTCTAAGAATACAGACCTGCATGTTGTATGGCTGGTAGCCCATGTAGGCCATGCCATTGGTGGGTGCAGCCTGGGACATCGGGGGTATACTCTGGGCTTGAGACACCACGTTCTAAAAAGAAAATGCAGAAAAACATTAAAGTATGGTAGTCCACATCAGAGCATTCCGATACCAGAAACCGAAATGTAGATCCAGGCTAGATGGCTAAAAACTAGTTTTAGGATATTACGACAGAAATTTGGAAGGAAAATGACTACTTAATGAACAATTCCAAGAAGACACTAGTCTTTTCCAAGACTGGCCTCTGGAGAGTCGTGATCTGGGTCTTTCCTACAGCAGAATTACATGAAAACCCACTACCTGGTAGCCCTGTGTTGGGGTGGGCTGATAGTTAGTGTAGGCAGGATTGGTGGTAGGGGGCGCCTGACCAGGGGCAGCAGGTTGCCCACCGGTCCCAGCAGTTTGGTACATGTAGGCGTTGACCATATTTGGATCTGCACAAAAAAGGGAAAAAAGACTCCATTTAAAATTTCTCAAAATGGAAACAATTAGTTTTGTTGTACCTATAACTATCAAGCACAGGTCATGAAAAGGTGTAGAACTTTTGAAAACAACAGGGGCCACAATGGTGGTCAGGCCATTGCATTGATCTTTTCATAATAAAACCCTTCTCAACTGACCAGTTATGTACCATGGAAAAGATCATAATAAATATTAGCTTAAATTACACTTGGAGAAGACATGAGAACAGTCCACTTTGTTTTTTCCATCTCACCTGTAGCAGAAACAGGCATGGCCTGGTAGGGGCCTGCTCCAGACTGTCCAGGCTGGTTCATGTATACACCATGCATGGGAGAACCCTCTACCGAGCCAGCAGGGCTGAACGTGCCAGGGTAACTGGGAGGACCAGCGGGTGGATACACTACCCCTCCTGCCACGTTAGGTGGCAGTGACTGCATCTGCACCACCCAAAACATATTAAATCAATGAAGGCCATCAAACGTTACTAACTAATACCAGATCAAATCAAATGCATTTGTTACTAATGTTGGTTTATGTACATGAAGGAACATTGTGGTCAGGATACTATTTTGACAATTGTGTTTATTTATTTTATTATTTATTTATTTTTACACAAAGGAGCTATAAACCTGGGGGACCAAGTTCTTTTTACCCTCTCTGAAGTATCTAATTTAATTTATTAAGAGCCTGATAATTTCATGCATGAAACTATAAACTGTGGAGCTGTAGCATGTTCAGGTTTTTACAAATGCAGAGATTTATTCAACAGGAAAATTGAACGTCTGTCCATTTCAATACTGTTTTTAATAGGTCACTGCCCATCTGATGTATTTCGTTTCATTACTTTATCAGCTCAAGTAAAGTGTGTTAGATGAGCCCTTGGACGTGTGTAGGGTGTCAACTTTAGCAGCAGAACGTACCCAAATATCATTGCGATTGGTCACAATTCCCTTCTTAAACCCCCCAGAATGGCCACTTGTGTAGCATAGCGACAAAAGTTTGTGTGAAAGTTGGTGAAGATTTAAAAAAAAAAAAAAAAAGTCTTGGAATGGGGCCCGTGTATTACACAGCTAGCTAGCTAGACTAACATACTCATCTCCAAAGGGAAATGATGTGGGTGCTCCAGTAACATAGAACATTATTTATAAATAGACACATTAACATGGAAAACATTACAAATATTGCATTCACTTGGCATAGCTGACCTGGGCATAAGGCAGAGAAAAGGCAGGCATTTGAGCACGCATCTGAATGGTGTGTTTCTGTTGCTCCAAACGCAACTGCCGCTCTTTCTCCTGCTCCTGCAGACGCTGAATAGCCAGCTGCCTCTGCATCTCCAGGTATTCCTGCAATACAACCAGCAATCACAGTTAAACCCACGAGCTTCCATCCAGACACGGATTTCACAGATTACCAATATCCTCAATCCCATTGCTCACACATCTGAATTGTGCAGACTTTACCTGTTTCTTCTGTCTCATGATCTCCAGTTTCTGGGCCAGCTGGATCTGCCGCTGTCTCTCCGCCTCCTCGGCAGCCCGCCGGAGTTTCTCACGGTGCTCGTCCCTGAGAGCATTCAGAGCGGCCCGAGCATCCCGCACCTGTGCCAGTTTATCCTGCA